AAGTTTAAATGAGAGAACGCCACGCTCATATAGAAAGAAGTGCAGTTTCCAACGGACTGAATTTGCTCATTTTACAGCCTCTGCTTCCCTAGACAAGAGTCCAGGGAAAACTCTGGCCAACAAAGCAGAGGACTTTGCTTTTAAGAGGCAACTGGTAACAACTGATGTTCACGTCAGTATGTTCACATCACCTTGGTTACCATTCAAAAGGAGTAGGTTTAGCTACTGCTTACAAGATCCCCAAGGGAATCACTAGCAGCTCTGGCTGAAGTAAGGAAAATAAAAAAAAGTCCATTGAAGTAAGTCACAGACATCATTTAACAGTAATTAAAAGACCACGAAGACCACTAATGCCACATGGGATACAGATTTGGCAGCCTGATACACAGGCCTGTGGAAGTCAATTTGTGAAATGAAAATCACACTCACTGAATCTGCAGACTGAGCTGAGCTCCCAAGATTGAAAGAACTGCTAACTGCGGAGAAGTCCACAGTGGGCCATGAGAAAGAGCACTGCAAACTGCAACTGCTCCCATGCCTGTGCCCTTCGGGTGAAGAGGCCTCTAATTCTAAATGCAATTTTCTCAATAAATTCGTACTTCAACTGTGAACCCGACAGCTTCCCAAACACGGTAATGCCTGGCAACACTCCATTACAGCCAACATGCAATGTCTGCACAGCATTAAAACTGTGTACAGCCGTGCCTATAGAAACAGTGCTGAAGAGATAATGGAGGTAACTGATTTCCCAAAATCAGAACTTCAGCTTTTTCTTCGAGTTTCTCATGCAGTTAGGAAATAAATCCTGTTATAACATCAAGACTAAAACCAATTTAAAATCCAAAATACAATTTACTAAAACATTACCTGTGTAGCTTCTGGTTGCACAGTAACTTGATTAGGCTGGGCAAGTCTTGACTCAGCATGAACTGCAGTAAAATAAGTTCACTTATTACATAGTACAAATCAAACCTTTCACAGAACAGCATTACCAGATTACATAATTACATTATTTAAGAGTTCATCATCATAAAGATGATTATGCCTTTGGCCGAGCAAAGCTATACTCAAAATACCAATTACCATGTTCACGTGTTTTCCATTTATCCAAAATAATCCACCAATTTCCAAAAGGATAAGCAAAACTATATTCTGTCCATTTAAAAAAGTTTTAAGATGTTCCACGCTTCCAAGCAAAATCTAGAAGCAAGTGAGAATCAGAATTCTATAAATAGGATGCTTCAAAAGCAAAAATACATTTCTGAGAAAAACATGCTTTAACAGTACAGTGGAATTACTTGTGGTGACCTTTTTACTACACAGCAGCAGCAGCGTTTCTAATGGATTATTTGCAGGCTTCCCCAGTATTTATGTTTAGGATTTACCATTACAAACCTGGAGGGCAAACCATTTGTGGCATGTCCAAATTCTGCGCTGGATTCATGGGCTGTGCAGACACAATGGCAGGGTCAAGTGTTTGGTTCTCAAACTCCAGCATAGAGTCCTGGGAAAAAAATAAAAGTAATAAAATCAAACCCAATTTACCGTAATATCAACATTCAGAATACAGCAATGACCAGATCATGATACAGGAAGTTTAGTCATTACGTAATTGCTGGTTTTATCATTGGATATAAAGATACTACAACTTCCAAAATATATTTATCACAATATAAATTCAGTCTGTGTGTACAAATTGGAACTTATTTCACAAAAAGGTTACTGGAGGGAGATTTTAATAGCCAGACAGAATAGGTGGTGAGCTAGTCTTTGTTCTTCAGCCGAAATTAACACTTTGTAGGAAGAAACAAGAAAAGGAACATAGGAAGTGTATGCCTCATTTGTTACCAAGGTGTCCACTCTTTAGCCTTTTTTTGATTCCGTTATCTCCCAATGCATTTCTAAGTTGTTCTAACTTTAGAGGTTAAAGGAAAGCCTTCAAGAAGCAACCCAAGAAGTATTCTCTTCATGTACTAGGTTACAGGAGAGGTATTTTACAGCTGGTCTCACTTAAGCTGAACACACTATGGCACCCAGTGATGCACCACTTTCTGCCTTCTCTGTAGATTTAGTACAAACAAGGACTGCAAGGCTAAAACACATTCTCATCATACTTTGACAGCAATACACATTTGCAGGCTTTGTATGAGGTCTTGCCATACCACTGTATTTTTCAAATACGCGATAGCAGACTGCTTAAACCACGACTAAGAGCCAGAAAGTGAAGTTTTATCTCTCTGGCTCTAGCTTCACAGCACCATGGTGGGTTCATCATACCTGCATGAAGTTATACGGGCCCTGCATCTGCGCCATAAGGTCCTGTACTCGCTGTCTTCTAATAAGAGGATCTGCTTGAGCCACAGTAGTGAGCGTGTGAGGTTCAGGAACTGGAGGAGATGTAGCTTGTGTCTGTTGTTGCAGCGAATTTACAACCTAACAAGACAAGCAACTGAAATTTCAGCTGAAGATAACACCATACTCACTGAGTCAGTAGTTCTTGAAATGTATGACTATTACCTAATTCATCATGGTCATAACTACTACAGTGTTCTCCAAAAAAATACTACATGTTCCTACAGTCATGCCAATACAGGTGGCCAACTACTGATCTTATCACTTCACAGGATGAGAAAGTTTAGAGACTGTGCTCTATTAGCTTTCCAGCTACTCTGTTCATCATTAAGAAGAGCGCTAACAAAAAATTTGCTCAATATTATGGGGATTTTCCTTAGCACAGGATTTGAGACAGTAGTTCCTCAACATTTGGATATTTAAAGAAAGTCGGGGAAAAGTACATTTCAGAAATACGCACAGATGGAGAACAATTCTTTTTAGTAAATATAAGTAGAGGAAGTTTTTTTAATCTTTAAAACTTCAAAATTTTAAATTTTCATAGCCACATACGGACCAGAGTTCTCAAGTGTTATCATTTATGATCTCAGAGAACAGCAGGCAGCATTGCGCCATGGGAAGACTGACAAAGAGCACCATGGGGGTTCACCAGAAATCCAGACGCACAGCTTAGAGTGGGCAAGAAAGCTCAGATCTACTAGACATATTCCTGTATGGAGCACGTAAACAAAGGTACAACAAACAGCAACACACTTTCAAATACCACCTTATCAAAGACAGCAGGGCAACCAAGAAATGTGAACATCAGCATCTAAGAACAACCATCAAACAGTTTGAAAAGAGACAGTTGCAAGGACAGCTGAGCTGCACAAAGTTGCACTTTCACATTCCCAACTGGTTTTGCTCTTCACGCAACTCCCATAATACAGAAGTGCCATTTTCAGTTTGCACTCATGTCAACAACTGGTCTATCGCTCCTCTATTCCCATGTGCTTTTCATTATTACTAATCTTCCAGATGAATATGTAAACCTTAAACATAGTTGGACCAGACACAAACTAGCATACAGACACCTGAAAGTCCAAAATATTTATGCAAAATATTCAGTTTCATATTAGAATTGCAGAAGACAGATTTTTGTACAGCAGTCCCAAGTGGCAACACAGTCCTGTCTTAGGCCAGTTCTGTAATCACAGGTCTGAACTTTAAACCTGAACTCCCTCTATCCGTTATCAAAGCCCGTAATTTTTTTTGGACTTCAACTACAGCACCCTCCCGTACACCTACTCCTTGCACAGATTTATGTTGTTCGCATGTGACGTTCTGCACATCCAATTGCCTCGCCAACTCCAATTCATTCTTTCCTTGACCAAATCCCTAGCCATGTGTAATAAAAAATTTAAAAAACGAAGTAAAAGAACCCTTCTAAACATAACTAAAAAGCAAACACAATCTACATTCCTCTTCAAGATTCCCTTGTAATACAAATCTCCACTAATAGCCATCGCAGAGAAGCAATGTGGTAATTCCCATGAAGTACACCCTAATGCTGTCCACACTGAAAACAAGCACAACTGCTCTGCTGGATTACACAGTCCCCAAAATTCAAATTACAGACTGTTTCCAAACAACGAATTAAGCTCTGTGAGTGGAAAAAAAATTGAAAGCGTTATTTAGAGCACATATATAGACCTCTCTCATGTTACAAAGCTTTGAAATGAAGGTAAAGAAAAAAATCAAACCAAATAACCAGGTGAAACTTGAGAGGTAAACCCAGCAGCTATTCATCTCCTACATGATTATTATAAAAAATATTCTCAATTATTTGAGTACTACCTCTCAACTCATTAAGTCCAAGTCATTCATAACAACACAGTATCTTCAAGAAAAAACAAGTTGATTGGATAATCAAAAACACAGAGAAGGACAAAATTTTATCAAATGTTTTCCTTTTTCAAAGTACAGTACTAACTTCAGATGTGTTTAATATTTTACATTGTCTTTTTCAAAGCTCTCCTTTAATGTCAAAATGAACTGTTCAGGGTCTGTTCCTTTAGTCTTCTTATCACTACCAGGTAGTTTGACCTATCACACTCAAAGCAGGATGAAGCTACTAAAAAAAACAAAACAAAACAAAACAGGTTTTGTGTATTAAGCTGCCAGTGGGCAAGCTGTAGTTCTAAGGGTAACAGCTTTCTAACAGTCTGCTGCACGAAAACCATTACCAAGATATAAAGACCACTATTCAAAAATCAGATTATTACCCAAGTATACATCTCTATTCATCCTCAAGGAACAGCGGCAATGTGCAACTTTTCTTTTAGGAGATCTGAACCCCTCTGCAGAAGAGTATTTGACTCATCAAATGGCATGCTCACCTTCTGACACTCCTGCCTCCTGACACCCTGCCCCTTGACCTTCTCAGTAGGCAGAGCTGCCTGAACACCATCAGAGAATGACAGGGGAGGGAAGGCCAGGTGGGCAAAAAGGAGGAAAGAGGGACAAGTAAAAAGAGAAGTTTAATGAGACCACAAACCAACCAGAATGAACTGGTATTCTGGCAGTGACAGAACAGAGTTTCCAGTTATACAAAAAATGCACAAACATCCACCCAACTGAAGTTCCATAACGTAAGACACAGAATTTTGTACTTAAGCAGATTCAGATCCAGGTACCTACTACAAAGGAAGCAGTTAACAATCATAATCTAACAAAACCAAGAAAACCCCACCAACAAAAACACACACACCCCCACCACCACCCACCAACAAAACACAAAACCAAACCAAAACCCCTACCTACTACTACCAATAAGGACATCTTCACCAAGATTAAAACATCACATAATCCAAATGCAAATACACTACAAAACTTCACAAGCAAATTCTTCAGTATAAAACTTACGGAGGGCCCATACAGAAACAGCACTGTGAGATACTGACACTTCTCAAACCATACACATAGCACACCACAGAACTCCTGAATGTACCACATCTACCTGAGGGCTCCTGAGAAAGAGGTGAGTTTGTGACAGCCTTCCTCTTTCTAAACAATGGACATCTTCTGCCAAAACATTCTCTTTCAGGATATTATCAGCTTCCAAAATACAGCCACCATTCACAGCCTTTACTACACTAATGCCACAACTACCTTGAGGTAAAGAACACAAAGGTTCTATATAACACGTATCATCAACTTCCCTAAGGATAACTCAACTAAGGATAATTCCCATGAAGAATACAATTTTGGTGCCAGGAAGGGTAATTTCAAAGACAGTTTTTCTCCCTTTTTGTGTTAAATCTGAGAAAACCTGGTTCTTGGTTCCTGGTTCTCAGAAAATCTGAGAAGACAGGCTGGTCCAAAGGCAGTGGGTGCTCTCAAGCGATTCTTCACAGTCCACCACGCCAGCAACACCCTCCACCATTCCTGCATCAGTGTCACAGCCTCCCACCGCAGCGAGCCTGTCCTCCACTGCAATCAGCCCACACCCTACAGCAGCTTCACTCCCTCAGTCTTCTGTGTGCTACTGCCAGGGTCGACCGCTGTCAGTGGCCCCAGCACAGAAAAACAGATACACCCGTACATCAGCCCGCACAGTCGAGGATGCTGAGGCAGCAGGGCCATCCCGGGTGACAGAACCAAACAATAAGGAGATGGGAGCAGGGCCGTCTCAAGAGTCGGAGATGGGAGGATGAAGCCGTGGTGACCACATGATCCTTATCCCTGAGGGAGCTACGGGACATCCGTAGAGACTACAACCGCTGCCCAGGTGATCGTATCATGACCTGGCTGCTCCGCTGCTGGGATAATGGGGCCAGTAGTTTGGAGCTAGAGGGGAGGGAGGCTGAACAGCTGGGATCCCCTTCTGGAGAAGGGGGCATGGATAATGCAATTGGACGTAAACCACAAAACATCAGCCTCTGGAGACAACTCCTGACCAGTGTGAAAGAGAGGTATCCTTTTAGAGAAAGTGTGCCTCCACAGCTACACAGGTGGACCAGAATGGAGAAGGGCATCCAGTATCTAAGCGAACTAGTGGTGCTGGAGATCATTTACCAAGACCCAAACAACCCACAAGCATCTACCGACCCAGACGAAGTTTACTGCACCAGAACCATGTTGCAGAAGTTAACGCAGAGTGCACCGCCATCATATTCTAGTGTGCTCTCAACACTAACTTGGAGAAAGGATGAGGCACCAACTGTAGACAAGATGATTCCTCAATTCCAAGTATGAGGAAAGTCTCTCCTTCCCCATACAGGCCTGTGTCTGAGCTGTGAAAAGACTGTCTAAAGAGATTGAAGAACTCCCGGAGGAGGTGTTCTGCTTCCCACCTCCACAGGCCAGTGTCTCGGCTATCAGGAGAAAGCGTTCCTCTCCTCCAGAGGGAAAACAACAGACATCCCTCACGGGGTACCCTGTGGTTTTACCTGAGAGACCATGGAGAGGACATGAGGAGGTGGAATGGGAAACCTACATCTATCCTGGAGGAACGTGTAAGTGAACTCAAAGGAAAGTGAGAAAAGTTGTTCTTCCCGTATCTAAACGGGATGAACAAACTGACGTGGCCAGTAATTCATTCCTCCAGGACATGAGTGAGGCACATGAGTATTAAAGGGGCCCTGCCTCCAGCCAGGTGGAGGAAAGGGACAACCATGTTTACTGGACTGTGTGGATTCGATGGCCTGGCACATCAGAGCCGCAGGAGTACAGAGCTCCAGTGGACACGGGTGCAGAGTGTACTCCCATTCCATCAGGCTGTTGGGGGGCACGCTGTGCCAATCAGTATTTCTGGTGT